ACTAGTCCCCTAAACTTCCATGGCTTTTGGGAAAGGGTAACTAGTCTCTAAGGTGTGATCTTCCGAGGCCCCTGGATCCTGTCAAGGTAAGGGACCTCTCGGATCATGAAGCTCTTGGCGTGAGAGTCTTCAAGCATTAAGCTTTCAACACCTTAGAAGAGATAGCCTTAAAAACGTTTAGAAAACAAACCAAGATCGAACCTTTTCTACCCTTCAATCCTCTCAACCCCGAACCCAAAGTAAACTACTCACTACTCATAAAGTAAATCAAGCAAAGCATAAGAAATGAAACGATAAACATGAAAGAAAGACTAGATCAAACGATAAGGATTCGAATACAAAAGCTTCAAAAGAAAACTGGTTCAACAATGGTGTTCTTCTGAAAAAACCGAGAGAGAAAACATCAAAGAAAAGATAGAAATCTAAAAAGTTCTTCCAAAAGCATCTCGCCACCTTGCCTAAAATGTCCAAACAATCCAATGGTCCCCCCTTCGCTAACAGCCAAAAAACGGTTGAAATGACAGAGATCGACCATTGGATCGAGTTGTTCTCTCGATCATATCCGGACATCGTGTCTTCGGCTCGATCCGGGTCTCGATCTTCATCGGTGAATCGAGTGTTGCATCCGATCTCGGTATCAATCTTCGGGTGGATCGAGTGGTGTACTCGATCTGGCTCTCGCTCTGCATGGCGTCATTTACGTCTGTACCGATTGATCGATTGCCTCACTCGATCTCCGTCTCGATCATTATCCTTGGATCACCTAGTTGGCTCGATCTTCTGGTCGATCAACTCCTAGATCGACCGGCCATGCTCGATCTACTCCTCGATCACTGGTCCTTAGCACATTCCCGAGCTCCCATGAACTGCTACATCGGCCTCCACACCTCCACGAACCTCCATGACTCCAAAGCAACCAGAAACGACCTGGAATGGATGCAAAATGCCGAGAAAATGCACATGCTGATGCAAGAATGCTCTAGGACCCTAAGTGATGCAATCTAACCTAAAACATGATACAAATGCATGAAAAACTATCTAATGAGTATGCAAAATGTATGTAAAATACAATGACATCAGGCCCCAACTACCAAAGGAATCAACCAACGCAACACGGTAGATTCTTTAGAGGAGGCCAGAAGAAGACTCCAAGGCAGGTCAGGAGCCCCTCGAGGAAGAGGCCTCCCTCCAAGAGCAGAACCTTACAGAAGTCAGAGGGACATCTCCCTTCAAGAGTGATCTCACCTATCCTCGCGGATCAAGAGAAGTCCCTCCCCGCCGAGACCTAAAGGACTGGCAGACCGCCTTCATTACCCCACCAGTGGGGATGTTCATCGTAACACAAGCTGAGAATACAACCGACCGGCAGGTAGAGAAGCCAGACACGGGAGCTCCTACAACCACCACAGTGAAAGGTCACCTTCTCGTCTTCATACAAGCTCCCCAGCAGATAGAACCCTACATTCTAAAGCAGGCAGCCACTCTGGGAGAACCTCTAAGGAATATGTACCAAGGTTCACATCTGATACCCAAGGTAATCTTTACTGCCACTCCCCTCAGGCCTCTCAACGAACTCAGCAATCACATACCCCACCACCTAACCCGCCACGTGAACTAATGGCCTTACCGCCTAATGCGGACTTGGGAGAAGCCAATAGTGCAACATCAAACAGGAGGTCAGCACTGGATAGAATATCTCCTCTGAATCCAACACCCCCCAAGGAAGAACAGGAGGCTCAAGCCTTCTCTCGGGTAGGCTCCAGGAAGTGGAAATACAATACGATGAAGTGTTAGGAGCACAACCAACAGAAATCCATATGTCAGGGGATCGCCCTCACCCCTCCCTTCGCCTCAGAGATCCAGGAAAATCAAAGAGCAAAGCCCGGAAGCCACCTGTCAGGAAGACAACACAAACATCAAGAACTATTACGAAGAGAAAGATGACAGGAGGGAAAGGAAAATCTATCCAAAGTCCCCTCATGGGAGCTAGCTCACGGAAACGACTCACCACGCGAAACACATCATCAACAAGGAAACGCTTAGTGCAAACGGAGACCATAGTGGAAGAAGACATACCTCGCAATGAGGACAGAAACCCAGGCTCCAAAGACGCTAATCCAACTGCGAGGAAGGGAGGGGCGGATTTTCGAATCCCCCAAAACCCTCTTCCTTAGCCCTTCTGAGCTGGAACTGTCAGGGGATCGGGGCCACCCTGACAAGTCACCGGTTGAGGGAATTCCGTAAGACCCTCTACCCCGACATCTTGTTCTTATCAGAAACAAAGAACAAAGATGAAAAAATCTTACCGGCATTACAATGGATGGGTTACGATTGCCACTTCACAGTACCTCCCGTAGGAACAAGTGGAGGCCTCGCACTGCTCTGGAAAAAAAGAGACCAACATCACTATCCTAGCCTCCTCTACAAACTACATTGACACAGAAGTGATATCCAAAGGAAACAGATTCTTCCTCACCCTTATATACGGCCCACCACAGAGAGAAAATAGAGCCGCCTTCTGGGAAACCATATCTCTGATTGGAAGGGACCGGGAATCTGCTTGGTGCCTCACAGTGGACTTCAATGACCTGTTAGAAAACGCAGAAAAGGTGGGAGGACCACCGAGATGTGAAGGCTCCTTCATCCCATTCAGAAGCTTCGTATCACAAAATGGTCTGTGGGATATCAAGCACTCAGGAAACCCTTTGTCTTGGAGAGGACAACGAAACAATCTCTTCATCCAGGCCAGACTTGATAGGGCAATGGCAAACTGCGAATGGGCAGACCTCTTTCCCTCAACCAGATGTGAATATCTACATTTTGAAGGCTCTGACCATAGACTGTTAGTCACCTTCCTCGACGAAAACAGAGCAAAGAAAAAGAAACCCTTCAGGTATGACAGACGCTTGAGCACTATGGAAGGAATACGAGAGGTGGTCGAACAAGCTTGGGGCCCGAATACAGCTGAAACAGTAGCAACAAAGATCAATAGGTGCAGAAGAGAGCTAATCAAGTGGGCGAAAGAAAAACAAAAGAGTAACGCGGAAGCAATGAAATCACTTCAAAAGGCCCTCGAAGAGGCCCTCTCAGAAGCACACCCAAATACAACCCTCATAAGTGATATCACTAAGGAACTAGACAAGACTTACAAAGCTGAGGAACTATTTTGGAGACAAAGAAGTAGAATTCAGTGGCTTAAAGGAGGAGATAAAAACTCAGCCTACTTTCATGCAGTAACAAAGGGTAGAAGATCGGCGAATCGGATCACTGTTATTGAAAATAGCCAGGGGACCCCAGTTTTTGAAGAGGACCAAATAAGCAAAGTCTTCTCATCCTTCTACCGAGAAATTTTCACCTCAAACGGTACAACAGAGTATAAAGAGGTGTTAGAAGTCCTTAAATCAAGGGTCTCATCAGCAATAAATGAGCAACTAATCACATTACCTTCAAGTAAGGAGATACGAGAGGCAGCCTTCGCCATTCACGCGGACAAAGCATCGGGACCGGATGGTTTCTCAGCGGGTTTCTACCACTCATTCTGGCATATCATAGGAGAAGACATCAGCAGTGATATTACAAGATTTTTTGCGTCAGGGATCATGGAAACTAACCTCAATAATACCCATGTATGCCTCCTCCCAAAGACTACAGCGGCTAAAACACCCTCGGAATACCGCCCTATAGCCCTCTGTAACGTGAGATACAAGATCATAGCAAAGATTCTCACATCCCGGCTACAACCTCTCCTCGATCACCTCGTCTCCGAACATCAATCAGCCTTCATCCCTGGAAGAGCCATCACAGACAACGTCCTCATCACACATGAGACCCTACATCACTTAAAAAATATCACAGGCTACGAAACGCTGCTCAATGGTTATCAAAACGGATATGAGTAAAGCTTACGACCGTATAGAGTGGGGTTTCCTTCGAGAAGTCCTGCAAGGCTTAGGCTTCCACCAAACTTTCGTGGACTGGATCATGGTATGTGTAACCTCAGTGAATTACACCTTCCTCATAAACGGATCCCCTTATGGCAAGGTATTCCCCACCCGCGGTCTCAGACAAGGTGATCCCCTCTCCCCGTACCTTTTCATCTTATGCTCAGAAGTGCTCTCGGGCTTCTGTCGAGAGGCACAGGAATCAGGCAAACTGAAAGGGATCCAAGTGGCAAAGAGAAGCCCCCACATCAATCACCTTCTTTTTGCGGATGACACCATGTTCTTCTGTAGAACCAATGAAGCCTGCTGTCAAGAACTATCCCGTATCTTGGGGAAATATGAGCAAGTATCAGGTCAACGCATAAACCTGGACAAATCTACTATCACCTTCTCAAGCAAAACACCACAAGAGATCAAATATAGAGTGAAAAATTCGTTGGGGATAAGAAAGGAAGGAGGCTCGGGCAAATAATACCCGAATCCTTTGGAAGACAAAAAAGGAATGTATTCTCGGGACTGGTGGACAGAATTAGACAAAGGTCCCATAGTTGGTCCACCCGCTTCCTCTCAGGTGCCGGGAAGCAGGTCCTCCTCCAAGCAGTGCTCTCTACATTACCAACCTACACTATGTCGTGCTTCCTGCTACCTAAGTCCTTATGTAGACGCATCCAATCAATCTTGACAAGATTCTTCTGGGACTCCTCCCCGGAGAAGCAGAAAATATCTTGGGTAGCCTGGACAAAATTAGCTCAACCAAAAAAAGCAGGGGGATTAGGCTTCAGGGAGATAGAGGAATTCAACGTGGCCCTACTAGTAAAACAGAGCTGGAGAATCCTGAAGAACAAGGAAAGCTTAATTGCAAAAGTCCTGCTAGGAAAGTACTGTCAAGACCAAAGCTTCATGGAGGTTGAGTACCCAGCGGGAGCTTCTCACGGCTAGAGAGGCATCTTAGAAGGAAGGAAAGTGCTCCAGAAAGGACTCGGGTGGGTAGTGGGCAGTGGCGAAAGCATCAATATCTGGACTGAGCCATGGCTCTCAACGGATATCCCCCAAGCCCCCATGGGTCCGCCTACACGAAGCAATGCAAAGCTCACAGTAAAAGACCTATTACACCAAGACACAAACAGCTGGAACTTAGAAGCAATACAAGCTCACTTACCTCATTATGAGGAAACCATCAGGCTGCTTATCCCAAGCTCGCGTAATCTCTTGGACTACCAAGTATGGCTACATGCGAAGTCAGGAACATTCACAACAAAGTCATGTTATAATCTCCATAAACGCTTCAATCAAAGCAGCGATGCAGAGTTTGACTGGTACCAGTTCATCTGAAATTTGCGTACTGCACAGAAAATCAAACACTACCTCTGGAGGGCACTCAACAAAGCTCTACTAGTGGGAATGAACCTCCGCTGGCGGGGAATTAACACAAATGCTTGCTGTGCAAGATGTGGAAAACAGGAGAATGTCTGCCACATTTGGTTTGACTGCCCGTACGCAAAAGAGGTGTGGCGTACAACCTCTATAGTCTCCCCCCTGGCAGGTCTTTCTCCAGACGTAGACCCTAGTGTCCTACTCAGCTCCCTCTACAAATCAAAAAACCACCCGTCAGCACCATTACAGGAAGTACCCCTGTTCCCTTGGATCCTCTGGTATCTATGGACAAGCAGAAACAAGATCACCTTCGAGGGTTCGGACTTTACAGCGTCGGAACTGGTCACCAAAGCCACTCAGGAAGCGACCCTCTGGCACTCAGCAAATAACTCCCCACCCCAGGTACCCTCGAAGACAAGACAGCCGGAATACCTCCCAATCCGGAATTCCGCAGCGATTTGCCACACAGATGGCGCATGGCAAGCGAACTCTCTGATAGGGGGCATGGGATGGACCATCTCAGACCCAGGAGGCTCAGTGATCGCAGAAAGCTCAGCGGCTCAACGATTCGTCTCCTCCGCCTTGGTAGCAGAAGCCATGGCGGTCTTAGCAGCACTTCGGGAGGCAATCTCGATGGAGATTAGTGATCTCCACCTTCAATCGGACTCTGTAGTCCTTGTCAATACCCTCTCTCGGGGGCGGATGTGACAGAAATCGCAGGCATTCTCTTCGACATCAAAAACCTTGCTCATCTCTTCCCTTCCCTTTCCTTCAGATACTTTCCCCGATCTGCAAATGTTGTAGCAGACATGCTTGCAAAATCAGCATTATCTCTATTCAGTCCAATGAGCCTCTTGTAGACTCTCTTTCTATTAATACCAACCCTTTGACCAAATAAAAAAAAAAGAGGTAAAATCATGTTTGTTTGGTAGTCGAAGTGGACATTGATGAATATTTGATTTTCTCTTTCTTTGATTGTTGGTATGAATATCTTCTCTGCTTCTGTCTAGTTTAATTTTCTGTCTACCAAGAAGATCGTCTAATTTATGTATTTGTCTTTGTCTTAGTTTCTGACTTTCTGTTTTTGTCTTTGTGCTGTTTATGTTTCCTGGTTGTCTTTGTCTTAAGTTTTCAGAACCTTTGTCCTGTTTTTTGTCTTTGAACCATTGCAATTTTCTTTGTTTAGAATCTGAAGGTGTTAGTAATTTACGATTTGGTGCAAGAGGACATGATTCATATACTCAGCGAAGTATAATATGAGTCCACACTTGTGTTGGATCATTTTTCTGTTGACCACTCAGTAGATCTAAAAGTCCAAGTCGAGATTGCGGTGAAACAAAATATGGCTTCTTTTTGTGTCTTTGCTTAGGTTTTGAAATTTACAATGCCAAGATATATAAAACTGTCTTGATGAACCGAATGTTTGTGTCATTTATCTGTTTTTGATTTGTCTTTCTTTCGTTTGTAGTGGTACAAATCATCTTTTAACATTTGCTTTTAACTTTTGTTTTCGGGTTGGTAAGTAACAAGTTTTAATTTCTAGCACAACTAAAAGTCCACTACGCATTGAATAGTTGATCATTAGAGAACAAAAGGATTGAAAAATTACAATTCTTTTATTTATTTGATCAACACAATATTTTTATTTTATTTTGTATCTTGTGAGTGTAACTAATTTTTTGGCCTTTTGTATTAGATGTGAATTTGAAGAGATAACAATTGAATTTTGATCTCATTTCGTACTTATATGAGTCTTAAAAAACTATGTACATTAAAAAACTCTTCAAGTTAATATTCGATAAATTAATAAATTCCATAAATCAATAATTTTGCTTGATCCTGAGTTAGACCGGTTCAAAATTTAATATAAATCGATAAACTAATAAGATAATAAACTAATCAAAATTTAACTTTTGTTTTCGGGTTGGTAAGTAACAAGTTTTAATTTCTAGCACAACTAAAAGTCCACTACGCATTGAATAGTTGATCATTAGAGAACAAATTACAATCCTTTTATTTATTTTTTGTATTCTTATATATCAACACAATATTTTTATTTTATTTTCTATCTTGTGAGTGTAGCTAATTTTTTGGCATTTTGTATTAGATGTATTAGTTGTGAATTTGAAGAGATAACAATTGAACTTTGATCTAATTTAAAAAAACTATGTATATGAAATTTTAATTTTGTTGTGTTGTGTATAAATTATTTTTTTAAATAATATTATCATATAATATATAAAAGTTGAAGGCATAATACATTGAGGATGTCCACATAGGATTAAAAAAATCATTCTGATTGGTCCACATCAACATATTCATTAAACAAAAAATGTTAAGTATGATTAAAACCTTAATTTCGTTTTAAAAATGGAAAATTAAAGAAAAAAGTAAATAACAAATATAAAACAAATATAAAACAAAATTATGTTAAAAAACCAAAAAATAATATCCTTAAAAATAAAATAGAAATTTGTTTTCAAAAGAGTTAAAATAACAAAAAAAAACCAATAGCATAAAAGTTCAAACTTTAATTTTGTTTTAAAAATGGAAAAATTAAAGAAAAAGGTAAATAACAAATATAAAAGAAAATTATGTTTAAAAAAAATAATATCCTTAAAAATAAAATAGAAATTTATTTTCAAAAGAGTTAAAATAACAAAAAAAACCAATAGCATAAAGTTCAAATTTAATATAAATTAGGAAAATTCTAACTTCTAAATTAATTGACAAGAAAATAAAAAAAAATTGATTTCGTTTTATAGATGAAAAAATCAAAATAAAAAAAGCTTAAGTAACAAATAGGAAAGAAAATTATGTTTAAAAAAAACCAAAAACTTAGATTGGTATATGTAGATAAAATATTCAAATCAAAGTATGCATATTGCACACAAAAGATAAAAACAGTGAAAAATAATGCAAAGACTCCACACTGCCAATCCTACAAGTTAGAAAACTAAAATTACAAAATATTAGACTGTAAAAAAATAGATATCAATGAAAATTGAATCAAAATATAAGCTAAAACTCTTAGAAGACATGGTGGAGAAGGAAGAAATAGTTTTGCATGATCATGGTAGCATCCTAACAAAATTAAATACGAATCAACATAAATCATGGATTATATATGCACTGATACACAACGTCAATAAGACTTTCAATAAAAAAAACTACATATTTGAACACATAAACCTTTAAGAAACAGAACTATATAAATTCTCTGGTAAACAGAACAAATACCAAAATCTTAGCAAAAATTATTTTCTCTAAATTAAATGTATATGTACGTCAAAGTTGGATAATTCGATATGTATCATTGTTATTATTTTACCTAATAATTTTCAGAATTTTAAAAATAAAAATATGAGAAAATTACACATTATTTATCAAATTCTCTTATATAAATAAAAATTTCTATAAATATATTATAGTTTTAATAATTTAAAAGATAGTAGCTAAAAAAGAATTAAATCAAACTATTAATACAGACTCGCGCGTAGCACGAGTTATATACCTAGTATAATATATAAAAGTTGATGACATAGTGCATTGAGGGTGTCCACTTAGGATTAAAAAACTCGATCGTATTGGTCCACATCAGCATATTCATTAAATAAAAAAATGTTAAGTATGATAAGGATGGAAAAACTTGATTTAATTGGTCCACATCAGCTTTTAAATCAAACAAATTATTAAGTATAATTAAAACATTAAAAGTTAATTTAACAAATTATGTCCAATAAAAAAGTAAATTCAATTTGATTGATCCAAATCAACATATTTATTAAATCAGAAAATGTTAATATGGTTTAAAAATTTTAAAATTAAATAAAAAATTAAAAATTAACAATACATGTATAAAAAAAAGTAACCATTATCAATTATCAATTTAAAAAAATCTACAACAACTCGATTTAACAATTAAAACAATAAAACTGAATAAAAATATAACATAAAACTCTTGAAAGACATGATGGAGAAGGAAAAAATAGTTTTGCATGATCATTACAGCTTCCTAACAAAATTAAATGCGAATCAACATGAAACATGGATTATATATACAGTGGTACACAACCTCAATAAGACTTTCAATAAAAAACTAAATATTTGAACACATAAACCTTCAAGAAAAAAATAACTATACAAATTCTATGGAAAACAGAAAATAATACCAAAATCATAGCAACATTATATTTCTCTAAATCAAATGTATATGTACGTCAAAGTTGGATAATTCGATAGGTGTCATTGTTATTATTTTACCTAATTGTTTTTTAAAATTTATAAATAAAAATAGGATAAATTAAATATTATATATTAAATTATCTTATATAAATAAAAATTTCTATAAATATATATAATTTTTAATAATTTTAAAGATAATAGCTAAAAAAATAAACCAAAATATTAATACAAATTCGCACGTAGCGCGAATTATATACTTAGTTTATTTAAAAAATTACTCTCAAAATAATCTTCAATTCATATCCGATTTTTGAAAATTTCCAATTCATATCCAATTTTTGAAAAAAATCATTGGACTTTGACCGAACGTTCAATTCACGAGTAATGAGTTTTTCGAACAGGGCATGTTTTTCTATGCACCTTATTTAACTAATACACTCGATCATCTCTTCATTATTGGCTTCATGTTCATTGAAATAATTCTTTTCCTATTATGTGGTCTAATAGTTACAATCTTTTATTGGATTAATAATATTTTTTAATATATTTGTTGACCAACTAAATTAAAAATTAATGAGTTAGTTCATAAATAATCTCTACTTTGATAGACGGTTAAGAGTAATTTTTAAAACAAATGAAAAAAACATTTAGGTCTTCTCCTTATCTATAAATATGTATATTTAGTCTATTGCAAAAGCATTACAATCACAATAACACAGCACACTAAAGATCAGTTTATAGGCAAAGAGACAAACCTAAACTCTTATTTCAGATATTAGTCTTTTCATCTTCGGTAACAATGACAAGAAGTAATCCTATAAATCTCCTCATGATTCTATTATGTGATTATTCAGATGATAAAATTTGTTAAGATTTAATTGATTTTAAAATATTTAAAAGTCTATGTAATTTACGTTTTACATGTAGTATCAAAGCATAGTTACGAACAACTGTTTAATTCATTAATATTAAATGAAGTTACAACAGCTATGAGCAATTGATAAAAATTTGGATCATACATGGTTATATATATATATATATATATATATGAGCACCTATACTTACATTTAGTGGTTCATCGTGGTTTAAAATCATCGTCATCATATAATATATAAAAGTTGATGACATAGTGTATTGAGGGCGTCTACATGGGATTAAAAAACTCGATCTGATTGGTCCACATCAGCATATTCATTAAATAAAAAAATATTAAGTATAATTAAAATGGAAAAACTTTATATAATTGGTCCACATCAGCTTTTATATCAAACCAAAAATTATTAAGTATAATTAAAATATTAAATGTTAATTTAACAAATTATGTCCAACAAAAAAAGTAAATTCAATCTGAATGATCCAAATTAACATATTTATTAAATCAGAAAATGTTAATATGGTTTAAAAATTTAAAAGTTAAATAAAAAAGACACAATTAACAATACATGTATAAAAAAAAATATTATCAATTATCAATTTAAAAAAATCTACAACAACTCGATTTAACAATTAAAATAATGAAAACT